TGAACAGTAAACAGAGTTTAATTATTAAACAGGGGAGTACAACAAACATTGATTTTCATGAGCAAAGTAATTCAGGTATTTTTCCACAAATACAAAACGGGGTGCATCTCTTTAAAGAGAAAACATATCTGTGGGGAAAGACTCCCAAACAATTTGGTCAAATTTTGACTTTACAATGACAAAAAGAGAAAGAAATCATGAAAGTGTAATGTAATTCTGCAGGCTAGCGGCTGAAATAAATATTTTAGTTAACCTCATAGTGGACATTTTCTGTAAGAGAACACATTTTTCATGTTGAACATGATTGATCACATTATTTCCGCTGATGCTGTAAAATCAGAATCACAGAATGATTAGATTGGAAAGGACCTTAAAGCTTACTCAGTTCCAACAACCTGCTGTGGGCTGGTTGCCACACACCAGATCAGGCTGCCTAGGGCCTCATCCAACCTGACCTTTAACAAGTCAGGGATGGGGCATCTACAGCTTCTCTGAGGAACCTGTGCAAGAGCCTCACACCCCCCCTCTCAGTAAAGAATTTCTAACATCTAATCAAAATCTCTCCTCTTTTAATTTAAAACCATCCACTCTTGTCCTGTCGCTATCTACTCGTGTAAAGACTTGTTTCCCCTCTTGTTTATAAACTGCCCTCAAGTACTGGATGGCAACAGTGAGATGTTCCCAGAGCCCTCTCTTCTCCAGACTGAACAAGCTCAGCTTCCCAAGCCTATCTTCTTAGAAGAGATGCTCTGGTCCTCTGAACAGCTTTGTGGCCTCCTCCAGACCCACCCCAGGAGCTCCGAGTCTAGCTCACTACAAGCATGAGAAGAGCCAGGACCAACGTTTACCAAAACATCTACATTAAAGAGAAACATTAACAACGTGAGTGAATACACACCCGCCTTTAACTCAGCAGTCTGGCAGAGGAGGCCAGGAGGCTCCAAGAAAAAGACTTACAGCACCAAAAATTGCTTCGCTAACAGGAAAAACAAACAGACACAAACCTACAAGTACTTCAAAACCACTTATCACTACTACAATAACACAAAATATTTTTGAGCAGAGAGGATTCATAGAATTGTGAAATCATTAAGGTTGGAAAAGACCATTAAGATCATCCAGTCCAACCATGAACCTACCACCATCATGCCCAAGGTTACACTCTCTTAGGGGATTTCCCAAAGTCCACGTGAAACCGTTGCTTGCTCTCATCTCCATGGAGTGTGGCTACAGCCCTCCATGTTAAAGACCTTCTCCTGGGTGCCTGATCCCTGTTAGCATTGAAGTTGAACAGAATGTGGCACGGCCTCAGTGAACCACAATTCTATGGAGTACAAATAGAAATGGTTACTGCTTTTCAACTGCAGAGGCCAACTGCTTTCACAGTATTTCAGTGATAAGTAACAGAGTCAACCTCAAAAATACTTTAATAGCTAAAGTCCAGAAGGAAGTATGAGGCTGGTCAGATATGCAACAGAAACCATGTGCTAACTGCTTGACTCAGTGACAGAGTCTCCAGGATAGAATCCAGGCCATTTCCTTTGGTTTTAATAATTTTCCTCAATTAGTTAATTTATCTCCCATTCTTTCTAGTATTCTTTCATCCATGATACCCAACTGAACTGTAGCTTGATTTAAAGCTAATGAAATGGTACCCTTTATTTTTCTGGCATTTGCTCATCCAGCTTTGCAAAGACAAGATTCAAACCCTATTAATAATCAACAAACATACAAATCATAGTAACCACACAAATGGTACATTGCAAGAGCAACAGCCTCAGAGACATCCATCATTCTGTCTGACAGACAAGCAGTCAAGGTAATTACATCTGTATTAATTGCAAGAGCAGTACTACATCTCAGCCAAACCTCTTTAATGCCTGTGTTCCTTTCTGATGTCAGCTAGCTACCTCCATGCTTGGATCAACACGTGCACTTGCATTTAGGCTGTGTGAACTATCCCAAGGTCTGGGCTCAAGACCAAAACAACTGAAGAAGAGTAATATTCCACAATATGAAGAGAGCCATAAAAAACATCCACGTTGGTCAGAAGAAAGCCACCAGGAGAATGAAGTGAAGATCTTGATCTGAAGTATTTACGATCTATTTGCAAGATTACTGTATCTACAGGAAATGCTCAGCCAACTCCATCGTATCTCCTTTAAAGTGTTGAAAATGTTTCCTCACACCTGGGATAAACTCCTTCCACTCTCACGTTTACTTCTAAAACTCACCTTTCTAAAATGCTTACAACTATTTTGAGAGATAGAAATTGCTTTGATGCTTTCTGATGCTAATGCTGAGTGATGATGCCTACCGATGCTCAGGCATTCCCCATATGCTGTCATTCCTATATAATCTATATTCCTTTTCTATGTTTACAAGGGTTTTGAGGGAAGAGGGGCTCTTTGTTCCATCTCCTTGAGTGCAGAAGAATATTTAACACAGTATAGCTTTATTTTAAGTAAATACATGAAATATGACCCAAGTAGTGAGAATAAGCATTTGGAGACAGAGAGGAAGGAATCTACAAAAAATCTCTCATTTCTGGAGACTCTTCAAAACTGTGCTGATACGGAAACTACGAAGAGATTTATGGCATCTTTGATAAAAGCTTGATAAAAGTTTGAGGTGAGCTCTGAATAAGTCACTTGAAAGCACACACACATTAGAACACATATTATTCTCAAGCAACAAGAAGCTTAGAAGGAGCTGATGTTTTTGTCACCTTTACAGAAACTTTTAAAAAGCTATATTGCCCTCTGCAAAGGACAAACTCTCATAATCATCAGGCTAAAGTCACTCAAAATTAAGGTAAACAACGGCATTACTATGTTCAGTTTCCAGCACCAACGTATAGATTTCATGAAAAGAGCAAGGGAGAAGGCAAATAGTTTTGGGGTTTGTTTTTTTGTGGGTTTTGTGTTTTGTTTTTTAATAGTCAGAAATATAGCCAGCTGAAACAAAGCTGTTCATTAACAGGCAGTATTTCATGCTTCCTTGTGCTGAACTGTCTAACCAGTTAAAGTAGTCTGGTTTCAAGGATGCCATATCTATATAATAGGTTAAAACACACATGTCCCAAGCTTGGCTGATCAGGACATCTTCAAAACATCTGCAAATTTTGGTGCAGTGCCCAGGAATCATAACAATTTCTGAAGAGTAGAAACTGAGGTTTATTGAGTCAGACAGGACAATACCTGGAAAATTATGAGTCTTAGGAAAGATATGCTATTGGTAATAGCATTTCAAAACTTGATGAGATTCAGCACTGCGGAATGGTGAACTCCAGGCGTATTTTTAATGGTGTTTGTGATTACCCCCTATTTCAAAGAATCAGCTGTCAACACTGATCATTTCCTTTTGTATAATTCATAAAGTGGTTAATTTCAGAAGCAAAAATATTATGGGTTTGAGTAATTGGCTGTTGAAGCACAGTAGGTACAGGATCTCCACATCTGGTGCCTGGGAGCATGTGCTCAGCCTTCTGCGTGCTTGCTCCAAAGTGTACTGTGAGAAGGAAAGTCTTCCCCACACAGCTTCTGCCTGAAGCTGTGGTAGAAGAAAAACTCCTTAGAGAAGAGAGACCTTGCAATAAACGTATTGCTCCATGTACAGTGAAAATGATGAACCGCTGCTTCTTTAGAGGCAATATTTCTGCTGAAGTTTAGAGCGTGATGCTCAAGGAGGCCGTGCTATAGTGAACCAAACCACACATGGATTTCAGCGCTAAAGGTTTTTATGCACAGTGGTCCCGTATCATGCCACCCAAATGCATTAATTCTCTGCCAGGAGTGTGAATCAGCCCCATATTACAGAACTTCATGCTGTTAAAGATTTCCAGATCAGAGATGTGTGGTCTCTGAGGCACTCAGTTTCAACTTTTTCTGTTTCTGAGCAACTAAAGATTTTCCAGAGGAGGTGGAAAATTCACACTCACAAACTGGTTTCCGTTTTTGCTACATGGTTTGCAGATGTCACCCTGAGGTCTTTAGAGCCACAGTAATTAAGATGAACAGCAGCATATAAGTTCTTCTAGCACAGGCTGACCAGAGAGGCTGAGGATGCCCCATCCCTGGAAGTGCTCAAGGCCGGGTTGGATGGGGCCCTGGAACATCTGAAATGGTGGGTGGTAACCCTGCCCACATCAGGGAAGCTGAAGCTCAAGGATCTTTGAAGTCCCTTCTAACCTAAGCTATTCTATGATTATTCCCGATTTCTGTAGGTAGGGCTCAAACCCAAATCCCAGTAGCTGAGCTGAAAGCATGGCAACCAGGAGGCTCTCAGCCTTTTCATCTTAGAGCCAGGGTCTTGCCTTTGCCAGCAGCCAGAAGAGATATCATTAGGACAAACCTCCTGTTAACAATACCCCAATTAATGCTATTAAAACATACCCAAATACTGATTCTTGGCATTTACCAAATATGTTTAATAAAAGCTTTGATTACTGTGGCTGAGGCAGTTAATATTCCTGCCAAAGACTTATATTACGCTTTGACTTTTGCATACAGTTCTAAGTATCTTGAACTCAAGCTGCAGATGATAACAGAAATACAAACAGAGGACCATAATTGCACAGAAGACAAGTTTGCCAGAGATGCCCATGAAACAAACAGATAAGCATATGAGTAACTTCTAATTACACTTTGTGATTATTTGTTTGGAAATTGGCTTTTATAATCACAGTTATTTGATAAAGCTGGAATGTGATTATTTGTGGATTTTCTGTTTATGTATTTATTGCACCATAAAGAGAAGTAATTCTACACACAAAGAATAACTACGGTTAAATGAGTATCATCTCTCCTATATAATTTTTTTCTAAGTTAAAACAAAACAAAAACAATGACACTTCAGGAATTTAATTTTTTGAATACAAGTATCGCAGAAAGGACTGTACTGAATCTGTATCTGCTAATAAATATTACAGGAAAAAAATTGGTAAGAACAGCAGATACAGTCTATTGTAGCAGTGGATCTGACATCTTTGAAAGGAGGTGTTTGTTTTTCTCCACATGCAAGAGTTTCCATTTTTCAGTGGGTTCTTGTAAAATAAGCATGTTTTCTAATAGCCAACCCTGTCCATGTCTGGTAGGATCTGGAAATTAAATTGTGCCTTCTTCATTGATCACCAACAACAAGAATTAAGAGAGCAAACATCACTCTGTGTAATTTCAGCTGCTTTCAGTTGAGGGCTGTGATGGAGAACAGAAGCTGGCCTTCTAGGCGCAATGCAGTTAACAGTTCAGCTGAAGAGAGAAGACATGGAATATTATCCTCATCATCTTCTCACACAATGCCTTTGAAGGATTACAAATAAATGCTATTTGAAATTTGCTGTAGTTATGACATGAAACAGATGGAACTCTGCATCCCTTCTTCTGAACTATAAAAAGAGATTTTGCTCCTTTTATTTTGCTCTTTCAAGAACTTAAACATTTTATTTGATGATCTATTTATTTGATGATTTAATTAGGCTCCTCACATAGACTTCAGATATTATTATTATTTTTATTTCTCCTTAATATTATTTTATTTTTTGGTACTGAGCATGTAAAAACTGATTGCAATTACTTACAGATATCTCAGAAGTCCTTGCACCTGCCCATCCTGCTTTTTGTGGACAAACCACAACTCCTGCAGACTTTTCATTCTGTCATATCTCAAAATCCAACAACTAGAAAAAAAAAACAACCACGAACAAAACAGCAGAGAAGTAGTTTCTGATGCCAAGTGGAATGTGCAACGACACGATGGGGAGTTTTCTGTACAGAAACACATTATCTAGGTTAGCCCCTGAATCTCTCACTGAAAGGACATACAGGGCTGTTGGCCTACTTGCTCATCTTTTCATAAACTGGTGGTTCAAGTCACTTCTAAAAATGCAGCTTTTGGTGACAAGCTTTCCATCTAAATGTGTACCCATTGCTAATACTTTCTCAAGTTTCCCACCAGAAGTACAATTTGCAGAACAAAGTCCATTACTACAGCTTCAGGATCTCCTCCTGCCACATCAAAGGAGTGACACAGATGGAGAAACAATGAATGGGAAGTAGCAAAGTGGCACATAGAATCATTAAGGCTGGAAAACTTTAATGGCCACTGAGATGACCAAGTCCGTTGACACATTGCCACCTTGCCCACTAAACCACATCCCTCAGCACATCCAAGAGCTGAAAGTAACAATGTAGTTTAAGCTATAATGCCTTTCCTAGAACTGGAAAGGGAGATAGCATTACTACCCTCCTTACACTGAATGTAAAATACTCTCTTACCAAAATTGTTCATAAAACCAAGCAAGAGTTTCTAAAACTTTTATGCTCTGAATTTAAAGAAAAACTGACCTCAATTTCCATGTGCACGTGATGAGAATGCACATGCTGGTGACAACATGCACACATGGTGACAACAACATTATTGTTGGTTAAAAGAAAGTCTCCAAAATGGTTCAGAACCTTTGGAGAACATTGCATGAAACGCCAAGTGTTGGCAGTCCACTACAGTGTTTTGCTAACTGATGACATTTTTCCTAACAACTGAAAGCCAGAGCAGAGGCTTGATAGAAACATGAATATCCTTTAGTAAGAGCCCTCTATTTGGCACCAAGCTGGACTTATTTCTAAGCACTAAGAACATACACGGCTGCAACGCAAGGCACTCCTAAGCACCTCCTACAATTGATACAGATTTCCAAACCTTGGTCTAGTAAGACACTAGTGAAAGAGAGATTAACGTTGCATATTCACACAGGTGCCAAAATTCTGTGACGAGCAAAAATATGGAAATGCATGAATGGGGAGAAATAGGATGAAAAGCAATTGTTTTGTGCCAGGCTGAATATTAGGAAACATTTCTTCTCAGAAAGAGCAGTGACGCAGTGACACAGGCTGCCCAGGGTGGTGGTGAAGTCACTGTCCATGGAGGTGTTCAAGAAACATGGAGATGTGGTGCTGAGTGATGTGATTAGGGGGCATGGTGGGAATGACTTGATGATCTTAATGGTCTTTTCTAGCCTTAACAATTCTATGACTATGAAATGAAGGAAAGCCCCACCCCACCCTTCTGAGATGATTCCTATCCCTCAACATTTTGAGCCCTGTTTCTGTTGGACTGCCTCCCTCTACACTCAGCATTACAGCAGAGCAGAAGTTGCTGATGGTACTGAGCCAATGGGACACTTCTGAAAGGAACAGCAGGGAAGCACACATGCTTCTTCAGGAATCATTTTGAATTGCACTGCTCTAAGCTATTCAAGCCTACATCAAAACAGCACTTGAAAAAATGTTTGAACATTTCACTTTACTAAGCTGAGGGTGATTCACACAAATATGAGGTGGTAAAAAAAAAAAAAAAACCAACAAAAAAACCTAAGGTTTTCAATCAGGTAAGTCAACAAAGAGGATGTAACTTGAAGCAGAGTAAGCACGCATTGAAGTCCATGCTGCCTCTGCCATGAATTACAATAATTCATCTGTCAGGATAACACTTCAGCAAAAGTGAGGGAAGAGGAAGCCATCCCATTAAAAGAAAAAAAAAAGCAAAAAAAAAAAAAAGCAAAAAAAAAAAAAAAAGCACTACAACACAAAACAATGGTTCTCAGTGGAGAGAAAAAGAAAAAAAAATTAAGAGCTCTGAACAAGTACAGTTTCCAGCAGGGCCCCCAACAGCTTTTCAAAGAGCTGTCACTCACTGTGTTAAACTCCTGAGCTAGCTTTCTATTGGGTTGCGGAGAAGTGGATTCCCCTTCTGCAGGTGCAACTGTGCATCTAGTAAATGAATTCCAGATGCAGAACAGAGTATTTCTCAATTGCCATAATGCAAACCTACAGCTGACTGACGTTTTCTTGCTAGAATTCCCACCTGCAGTTCAAGTGTGGGTTAAAAATGGAGGGGGAGCCCTCTTTTGAAAAATCTGTACCAATCTCTCCTCGTATATCCCATTGTCACATATACTGTGCTACACTAACACATAAAAAAAAAAACAGCAACAAAAAAAAACATCTTGACCTTACACAGACTACTTTAGGCATATTATTCATGTATGCCAATTATTTGTGGTAGATGGAAATATTTTTTCAATTAGAAACTAGAAGGAAAGAAAAACATCTGGAAAGGCCTTTTGTGTACTGGTAAAAATGGAACTCTGAGAATGTATGAAGTCTTTAGGGATGCCAAACTGTTTTAAATTCTTAATAAATCATATTTCCAATTACATTTTTTTTCCTTGTAGGCACACTGTTGGAATTTGAGGAACACCGAAGATACAAAAGTTCTGCAGAAGTCATTGATGGCACAGATGGCTCTAAAGCAATCTAGCAAGCTACTGAGGTTTTTGCCTAGAGTCACATCAGATAGTTTAATTTTCCAAGAATCACAGAATCATTAAGACCCCTAAGATCATCAATCCAACCATCCACCTATCACCACCATGCCCACTAAATCTTGTCCTCACATTTCCTATGTTTACATAATTACCAATCAATCAAACCTTTCTGAATTGATGCTTCATTGTGAGAAGCAGGATCCAAGTGTGATGGCACAACAAGAACATACCTTTAACACAGAATGCTACAAAAAAGCTAGATAAATCAGTACAAAAAGGGCTTTTGTTTGACACTCTCTCAAAATGCATGGCACTTGGCCTCAATAGTATCCTCCTTCGGCTCATGAAGCCTCACCAGCCATACCCTCCAGTGCTTCAGCCCAGTTGTTGTTGGGAGTAAAAACAGTTATTAGTATCAGCTCTGCAGAAAAGGAGCACCACAGCTTCAGGCACCACATCTCTACTCCCAGTTTGCTACACAAACACGCCAGCACACACAACAAGCCAAAGAAGCAGCTTCTACATCACTAGTTCTGCTCTACAATGGGATCTCAGCTTCCATACATGCTAATGGTGGTCATCAGAATACCGTGCAAGTACAGAACAGAGAATCTGTAGGGAAACAGAAACTGTCCATGTGTAGAGAAAGTCAAAGGCTTGCTTCCCTATGGCAGCGGCTGCTGGGGACATTGACTCACAGCCTGATTCCTACACACTAATTGAGACAACAGCATGCACATTGCACCATTTACTGCCACTATATAGGCTTAAAGAAGTTGCAAACCAGGCTTGGGGCACTGGGACTTCATGCATCCTTCCCACATCAGCATAGCCTTCCCAAAAAGGAGGTGCTGACTGGAATTACTGGGCTTTCAAGCCCACCAACACACTGTTCCAAAGAAAAGGTTTCTGCTAACAATTACTCACTCCATTAACCATATTATTTATTGTGGACAAAAGGAAACCATATCAGCAAATCTTGTTCTTCCTGGCTTAATTCTGTACCGATCCAGCTGGGGAGAAGGAAGGAGAAGATGGCTGTTCCGAGCAGCAGATGCTCTCCCACCCATGCAAACAAGTCCACAACTGTGAACAATCATCCCTCAGGCTCCAAGCAAGGCTGCTGGGGCTCAGGGACTGGAAATGCAAAGTCCAACACAATCTTAATACAATTAAAACTCACACAAGAGAGACAAATGTTGAAAACTCCCTGACCCAAACACTTTGGTCTTCAGTGTCTGGGGCTGAAGTGAAAGCTCCCACTTAGAAAAGCACACCTACATTCTTCCCAAAGTGCATCCAACCAATTAAAGCAATTTTTCAAACATTTCCTAGGCCTATTTCTGATAAAAAGAAAAGATCAATGTGAAAACCCAACCTCCAGTTGACTTTAATAGGATCAATATGAATCCTTGAAGTGCTGCAATCAGTGACAGCAGAGCTGAAGCCCACATGCACACAAGTCAATTACCAACTCTCAATTACAGAGAGTTCTTAAAATATACAGCAGATTTGCAAGCTTTGAAGGATGCAAATCAGGAATAACAACGCTCTCTCTTTAGATAAGGAAAGAGGGAGCAGCATTAGATGAAAGCCAACATTTAAAAGCTGGGTGATTATTTTTAATAGTTTGTAACTCCAAAATAGCATGAACATTTTCAGACATATAATTTGCTTTAAGTGTAGCAATTTTCACGCCAAATCAATTTTTCAAGCTGAAGCTCTCAAAATGTTGACTGGGGGCACCTACAGTTTGAAACAACTACTACAGACATCTGATTCCAGTGATGCTGGTCACTTTGCTTATGGTCTTTGGTTTAAAAAAAAAAAAAAAAAAAGGAACACAACACAGCTGTCCCTGTTTTCTGACAAACTGCCCCTAATGCTTGTAGAAAGTGCACGTTTTCTATCAAGTTCTCCCTAGACATGCATTTAAATCAACACTGGCAGATGTCTCAAGCAAAATCTGTCAACAAAATATCTCTCAAATAGTAGATTTCAATGGGTCTCTCTCATCACTCCATAACACCAATGCTGAAAAACAGCCTTGAGCTTCAAACTATGTTGAAGGCAATGCTGGTGTCACACACAGAGCACTGCTGTGGACTGAAGGGGAGGGTTACTTTTTTCCCCTGCATCTTCATACAATGGGCACCAAAAGCACCAATGGACAAGGTCAAGTCCAGACCACTTCCCTACACGGAGCAAGTTAGCAATATAGCAATAGGACTTGCTATATGGATTCAGTGATCCATATGGGTCCCTTACAATTTGCAATAGCCTGTGGATTCTTTGATAAACATGCTGCCACTGGAACCAAAGGGAACAAAATGATCACTCTGGGGGATTTTTAA